TCAGATTTTTTTTCTTGTAAATGCTTGAATTTTCTGTAAACGTAGACTCTGAAAAATTCCTTTGGCCAGAGTACTTTTGTGAATCCTCACGGAGTGCTGCCTCATCCGGATCGCTCTATTCCTTCAATAGAACTCTTTGCTTTAATTTTAACATAGACTCCAGTTTGCTCTTTGACAATTTCAAGAGCCATGAGGTAGCACTGCAGGGCGAGCGTATAACCCTACTTAAACTAGGCTGAGCATGAGTTAGGAATTAACCAGGAAAAGGGGCAAAGGAAGAAGGTGCTCTGTTCCCAGAGGTAGTAAAAGTCAAGCCTTAGTGGAATGGAAAGGAATAGATTCTACCTGGAGTGTAGAGTTTGAGAGGGTTGTAGGGTGTGATAAGGTTGCAGGGTTGGTGTGGTCAAAATCTTAGAACATTGTAAATCTCATTAACAATGAACTTTATCCTAAGGGCAGTAAAAACCCAAAACCAAACACATTGCTGGGGAGGCATGTTGACTCATGATGATCCTGTGTGTTACAGAGTGAAACTGAGCTCCATAGGGTTTTCTTGGCTGTAATCTTTATGGAAGCAATTGCCAGACCTGTCTTCCACAGTGTCACAGGGTGTGTTTGAACTTCCAACCTTTAGGTTAGTAGTTGAGTGCAAACTGTATGTGCCACCTGTGGACCATATAAGGGCGGTAGGGAGTATTAAAGGGGTTCAAGCCAAGTTTTGACATTTTTAATATATATTTTAGAAGGATGGATACGTATTAGCTTCTCAAAATTATGACTGTGCCTCTTCCTGGCTTGTTTCAGTGATTTGTGGCTCAAATATCCCTCGATGAGACTTTTCCAATATCCTTCTGTTACAACTTTGCCTTCATGACCTCCTCTCTTACCCATCTCGCCCGCTAGTGTGGGCTTCTAGGGGCAGGTGCTGGAGTCTGCTCAGTGCCATAGCTCTGCACCCGGTGTGGACGGACATTTAAAAATGTTTGCGGATTGAACATACGAATGGCTATATTTTCAGAAATCATTAAGTAGAGAGATCTCAGGGTCATGGGCCTAGTCTCAGGAGCCCAGGAAAGTAATCTTGGCTCTCTTAAAAACAATATAAGATTATGAAAGTTACTTCCCTTCTCTGGGCCTCAGGCTCCTTCCTTATAAAACACTGAAGTTTGTATTAGCTAGGGTAATGCTAGGCTGCTATAACAAAGAGACCCAACGCTGCAGTGGCTTAAAGAACCAAAAAAGTTTATTTCTCTCTCATGTAAGAGTCCTCACATGCATGGTCCAACAATGGGAAGCTCTGCTCTTTGCAGTCATGCATAGACCCAGATTCCTTCCAGTTCATTGTTCTACCATCTCCTGGGGTGTTGCTGTCATCTTCATGGTTGAAACTGGGTTGCCACCATGTCTGGATTCTAGCTGGCGGGAAGGGGGAAGAATCTGTGAATGAGACCCTCTTAATGTCAGAAGCCCCAGCTCCCAAAGTAACATGATCACTTCTGCTAATATTCCACTACTGAGAACTTGGTCACATGGCCATTCCTAACTGCAAGGGAATCTGGGAAATGCCATCTAGCTGGGCAGACATGTGTCCAGCTACACTTCCACTACCATGGGGGAAAAGAAAAAAGGGAAGGATGGATTTGGTTAACAACCAGCAATCTCTGCCATGAAGGCTGATTACATGACCTCAGAGAACACTTTCAGCTTTAAAGTTCTATAGCTTAATGAACTTAGAGGAGAAAACCTAAAATAATTTTACAAATGGCATAAAGTGCACCAAATCTTCTTCATGAAGATTTCACCTGTGAACATGGCCCTTTGGATAACTGATGCTTCTTTCAGATATCCCAACAAAAATTCAATATCTGGGTCTATCTAAATAAATACGTCACTGGACCAAAAGTCTTTGAAAACTGCATTTGACTGAGTCCATATTACATATAATAAAATTCATTAACACGGACAGTTCCATTTCAAATCAATTTCATTCTGGTAAAGCCTTCTAGAATTACCAGTTGGATAATCTTCAGAGAACATGGCTTAACTGAAGGCAGTTAAAAAGTTAATTGATTAGAGCATTGTTATAATAAATTTGCCACAATGGCAAGTCATGTGGGTATTGTTAGCCCTGGGCTGAGTTTGAAGTGCGGGCGTTCTTAACTTTAAGATTTGGGGCATATTAGAATATATCACAACAGAGTACTGTGACTGCTAGCAACCATCTATTAAACATCTACTGTATATTGCCAGCAGCAATCCTATGCCCCTTATATATAGCAGTGTAACATAAATGTGAAAGGAGACCTGGTGGTACAGTGGTTAAACACTCGGCTGCTAACCGAAGGGTCAGTGGTTCAAATCCTCCAGCTGCTCTGCAGGAGAAAGAGGTGGCAGTCGGCTCTCATAAGGATTAACCCAAAAAAACCCAAACTGACTGCTGTCGAGTTGATTCCGATTCATAACATCCCTCTAGGACAGAGTAGAACTGCTCTATAGGCTTTCCAAGGAGCACCGGGTGGATTTGAACTGCTGACCTTTTGGTTAGCAGCCAAACATTAAGCCACTGTGCCACCAGGACTCTACCATAAGGATTGCAGCTTTGGAAACCCTATGGGGCAGTTCTACTCTGTCCTTTAGGGTTGCTAATTCTGATGGCAATTGGTTTTTAACATAAAGGTAAAGAGTTTAGATTCTTGAGCTAGATTGATTGGGTTCAAATTCTAATCCTGCCACTTACTACCTGGGTGACTGTGGGCAAATAATCTTTCTGTCCCTCAATTTCTCATCTACTAAGTATGAACTATGATAAAATTTACCTCATAAGGTTCTTGTCTAGGTTAAATGAGTTAATACATATAAAGCTCTTGGAATAGCACCTGCTTCATGGTAAGGCTAATAAAAGCTAGCTATAATTATTATTCCCCCATGTATCTGTCAGTCTGTCATACTGTGGGGACTTGCGAGTTGCTGTGATGCTGGAAGCTATGCCACCAGTATTCAGATACCAGCAGGGTCACCCATGGTGGACAGGTTTCAGCTGAGCTTCCAGACTAAGACAGAATGACTGTCTTTGAGTGTGCATCAGTGAAAACAAGGAAAGTGTTTAAAGAGTAACTTCAATTTTCAGTTTATAAAATGTGCATTTTAGGACTGAGCACAAAGTCAATGCCAAGAGCTAAACTAGTTTCAGGTGGCTTTTCGGGGACTTTCAGTGCTAAGCTTAATTTTGTTGAGAACTTTTTTTTTTCTTTCAGGTCAGGAGAGTACTTCTTCCTCACTAAAAACTTAAACTTCTCTCTCCCCAGAGTAAATTTTATAACCTAGTTTGATGTCCTTGCTCCAGAAATATTTTGAAATAATTATGCCCTGGAGCATAAAAGTTCAAATTACAAGGAGAGGTGATCACTGAAGAAGGAAATGATTTTCACTCAAAAGTGGATAATAGGTATTTCAGACTGTGATGGTTAACCTCACATGTCAAGTTGGCCAGGCTATAGCACCCAGGTATGTAATCAAACACAAATCTAGGTGTTGCTGGGAAGGTATTTTGTAGATGTGGTTAACATCTACAATCAGTAATAATGTGGGTGGGACTCATCCAATCAGTCCAAAGCCTTAAGAGCAAAAACTGAGGTTTCCCAGAGAAGAAGAAATTCTGCCAAAAGATTGTTGTAATTTTTTTGGGTGCTGTGGAGTCGATTCCAACTCATGGTGACCCCATGTGTGTCAGAGTAGTCTTGTGCTCCATATGGCTTTCAATGGCTGATTTTTTGGGAGTAGATTGCCAGGCCTTTCTTACAAGCACCTCTAGTTGAATTCAAACCTCCAACCTTTTGGTTAGCAGTTAAGCATGTTAACCCTTCACACCATACAAGGTATCTCTCCGTCTCTCTCTCTCTATATATCATATTGGTTTTGTTTCTCTGGAGAACCCTACTGCACATATCGAAACTATTTCTAATACTATCATGCTAAAATAATATTTTTTGTAAATGTCACCTCCAACCTGCACCTCCCCATCTTTCTTAATGACATCATTATCTTTCCAGTGACCCAGGTGAGAAAACTTTGGTGCTATATTTGACATCCTCTTCTTCTTCACATTCCACATCCAAGCAATTGCTAAATTCTTACCCCTCCGATCTCTTTCACTCTTTCCCTGACCATAACTATTGCCCAAATTCAAGCCTTCACTGTGTTTTGGTGGATTTGGAACGGAGAAGAGATAAACAAGTGTTGTCAGTCAGCCTGGCTTAAGAGAAGTTCTCCAATGTGCTTTTTCCTAGGCCTGGGTCCCACTCCAAAGGGCACTGATAATGTGAACGAGGGGTGGGCCAAGAAAGAAAGAACACCTAGAAAACAGCAAAAGCCAAGCGTGAATGTGTGTGAGTGGGAGCAGTGGGGGCCGAGTTCTGTGAAGGAGAGTCGGGTGAGGGTGGGCTCACTCCCATAGCTCTTCCCACTTTCTGTCTCGTAATGTGACTGGCTGTGTCCTGCCTACCTGCTCACATGGATCACAAAGGCTTCCTGGACAAGGAATCTTTGTATTCATCCCACCAGACCTAGCACTTCATCTGCAGCACTGGTGGAGCCCAAGGGATTAGACGAAATCTAACTGAGTTCAGGGGACCCCATATTTCCATACTGGGAATACTCTCAGCTCTGGAACTTAGGTCTGCAAGGACCCCAAGCCTCTTGCTTCATTCCCCAGTGAGGGACTTGCAGCCTCTGTGAATTCGCTCAAGGAGGCACTACACACAGGCCCTTCTCCTATACACCCCCAACGGAGATGACAGTGTCAGAATTTGGAACTAGTTGATCCCTATCAGGAAAGATGATAAAAAGCACTTGCATTAGGAAACAAACACACACCAGGAGGTAAATGATGTTATAGCTTCTCAGATGCTTCTGTCTCGGTTTGTGCTGCTTTTGAATGGACTGGGGCAGGGGGTACATAGAATCATGCTTGCGACTCTTTTCACTTTCCATATTTATTACAGCTATTTGTGCGCTGGAGTCCCCGAATGGTACAAATGGCTGATAACTGAAAGATTGGAGGTTCAAGTCTACCCAGAGATGCCTTGGAAGAAACGCCTGACAATCTACTTCAGAAACATCAGTCACTGAAAACCCAATGGGGCACAGTTCTACCGTGACTCACATGGGGTCACCATGAGTTGGAATCAACTTGATGACAACTGGTTTTTTATTTGGGTGCTAGACGTATTTCTCCTACTAGATTGTAAGCCACTTAGGGCAGAATGAATGAAGGAAGGAGAGAATAAATAATGATATTGTGCCTGTGATACTTGACCCAAGGTTTTCAAAGTGATTCGTGTACCAAGTTGTCTTTTCCTTTTCCACTTAGGATCGATATTCCTCTATGGATCAGGAATTTACATCTTTTAATTTTAATAATCTTGCAACCAAGGCTGTGTAAGATTTATTTTGAAGGAATAGTTTTCATATAACTTTTTTCTGTGAGTGCCAGGAGAAAGGTTTGGGCTATGGATTCTTGGCTGGAATTTGAGGGGGTAAAGGAATCAAATTAAGTATTTTCTGACTGCTCAGTTCCTATTTATAGTCCTGTAATGACTTTCCTTTACTGCCAGCCTAGGTGGAATTTAAATGATTGACCAAGGGTGAAGTAATTCATTTCTTTATGCCATCCTATTTTATTCCCCTGCCATCTTTTCCCTGCATTCTCTTTTCCTGTTCACTTCCTGTGATGATCTTTCTTTGTCAAGGATGTTTCTCACGATTAAGTGCTTATATCTGCTGCTCCCCAACATGTTCGTTTGGATAGATTTAGGACAGATAAAAATTTTCAAAATAGCCTGTTTTCCCTTTACTCTAGATAGGCACTCAAGGAAGATTTTTAACTAATGGCATTTGACTTCTTTCAATTATTAGAAAATTACCTACCTTTGAGTTCTATAGTCCTCCAAAAGTCTAAACCTTTCAGATATTAAAGATAACCGCCTAGTTCCACCTAATTGTTTTCTGTTTTACAGGGATTGGGGATAGTGGGACATTGTGGGAGGGGGGAAGAAACAGGAAAAAAGAGAAGGGACATTCATCCCGAGACTGGACCCAGAGTCTGTATGAAACAGAGATGGTGTTAATAATAACTTCTTGCTTTAAGCCGGGTTTATTCTGGGTGAAGTGTGTCCTTCAAGTTCCTCTGTTAACCTGACTGTGGTTGCAGGTGGGGTAGAGCTGCTGGAGAACCTTGACCCAAGTCTTCTCCACCTTGGATCCTTTTCAGTAACCACCAGGCCTACATGGAAGTGGAACTCTAGGTCTTGTGGAAGTGAAAACTTCAGTGGTAGCCACATACTGTCTATTTTGGTGACTCTGACTTGTGACTCCTCTCACCTAGCTGAAGGGCTGGCTTGGCGGGGACTTATTTAGCACCTTTCTTCATAGATCTCACAATGCCTTTGCTTATAGCCTTATTTATCCTCATAAGCTCCACTGATATTAGAAGTAAAAATATGTTTAACTACAGTTTTTAATAATTTGAATTTTTCCCTAAGTTGTATGGTCAACCAAGTCCTGGTCTTATTGCCAGGTTATAGGCTGAGTCTTAAGACCTGGGACCAGGAACTTCTGATCTGGCAAGACTGGGCCCCTGGCTTAAGTCTTACCTGCATAACCAGAAAAGTAATTTGAAACCCAGACAATACTTACTGCCCACCCCTCTTTACACCTCTGTCCTTCAAAAGGGGGAGAAACTGAAGTTGAAGCAGTTGAAAAGGTATAGAGTATCTAGCTCCTGTTTTTTTTCCATTCTGATTTTTTGACTATTTCTTCTGAGATCTAGGTAGAACATAATACTGAATTTGATTGGAGAAAACATTAAGTTTTATAACCTACTGCAACCACTTGATATACAAATGTGGTAATATCACTTTTATATTTTCAATTAGTTTATTGTACCTACGATAAACTAGGAATGAGGGTTATCATTGCTGATGTCAGGTGGATCTTGGCTGAAAGCAGAGAATACCAGAAAGATGTTTACCTGTATTTTATTGACTATGCAAAGGCATTCAACTGTGTGGATCATAACAAATT